GGAGGCAAAGGTTTTCTTCTCTTCTTCTATCCCTATCCCCGTCGTTCGTATTCATATCTTTTTTTTTTTTTTCATATCCAAACTTGCAAAAGGCTACCATTTTTTCTTTCTTTCTTTCTTCTTCTTCTAGCTAATCCTCCTCCTCCTCCTCCTCTTCTTCTTCTTCTTCTTCTTCTTCTTCTTCTTCTTCTTCTTCTTCTGCTGCTGCTGCTGCTGCTGCTATTATACCCCGCACCGGTAACCATACCCATAGCCATAGTTAGACTTGTTTTATTATTATTTTTTTTTTAACTTTCTAACTGCAGCTTTTGTTGTTCTTCGTCGTCTTCTTCTTCCCCTTGTCCCTCCTCGTTGGCAGCCATAGCCACAGCATGTGAATTTTTTTTTCTTCTTCTTCTTCGTCGTCATCCTGTTCTTCTTCTTCTTCTTCCTCTTCTTCTTCCTCTTCTTCTTCCTCTTCCTCTTCTTCTTCCTCTTCTTCTTCTTTCCCTCACACCGGTAGCCATATCCATAGCCATAGTTAGACTTCTTCTTTTTTTTTTTTCTTTTTTTTTTTTACTGCAGCTTTTGTTGTTCTTCCTCGTCTTCTTCTTCCACTTGTTCCTTCTTCTTCTTCTTCTTCTTCTTCTTCTTCTTCTTCTTCTTCTTCCCCCTCTTCTTCTTCTACTTCTTTTTTCTTTTTCTTTTTCTTCTTCTTCTTCTTCTTCTTCTTCTTCTTCGAGTCTGCCCCTTGATCGTAGCCATAGTCAAAGCCGACGAAAATTTTTCTTTATTATTTTAACTTCTTCTTCTTCTTCTTATTCCCCCACGTTGGTAGCCATAGCCACAGGCGAAGTTCCTTTTTTTTTCTTTTTTTTTCAACTTATTCTTGTTGATCTTCGTCCAGCAGTCCCGTCGCCGTCCTTCAACCATAGCCGTAGCCACAGCCAACGTTTATTTTCACCTTCAAAAAGTCGCTCCTCTTCCTCCTCCTCCTCTTCTTCTACTTCCTCTTTTTGTTATTCTTGTTGTTCTCATATCTCACCGGTGGCCTTGACGGGGGGAGATGAAGAACGAGGCAGTCAGGGAAGAGCAACAGCAGCGGCAAAGGCGAAAGGACCTGCAGTGCCTGTTGTTGACAAGCCTGAATCGAGTACGTGAAGAAGGACAACATCTGCATTTGCTACTTCATTTGGCGGGAGGAAGGAGCCCACCGCAGGAACCGACGCAAGCTTGTTCCAGGGGAAGAGTGAGGCGGCACATGTTGCACTGCGAAAGAAAAATAAGGTTTGGATCTGGTGTGAGCAGGGACAGGAGGTAGCTACTTCGAAAGGGAGGGGGGAGTACTGGGTTAGGTGCAGGTTGTGCTCGACAATCTGGAGGGGGTCGGCAAGTAAAGCTGCCGAGCATTTCTTGAAGCCGATGAAGCCGCGTGCACTGCGGACAGGTGAGATAGTCCATATTTTAATTGCTGGCGGTGCTAAAGTGCAGCCAAACGACAAGAACACGAAGTACTTGTTGACGAATTACGAAGGAGGCGAGTCCAAATCAGATATACATCATGGTCATGCATCATGTGGAGAGGAAGGCTTGGAAGATCCGCAGACAGACGAGCCCCAACCACCGCCTGTTGCAGCGCGGGCAGTTGTCGGCATTGCAAACATGCTTGCTGATGCACTTGATGAGGCTGTCGAGGGTGGAGGTGCAGCGGATGGCGGAGGCGGTCAGGAAGGGCAAGGGTCGACAGCACGAACGACCACCTTGAGACAGACCACTGTGCGACGGTGGGTGGACAATGCGGCGCAGAAGAAGCTGGACATTGCGTGGGCAGAGGCCATGTTCAGGGTTGGTATTGCATGCCGTGTACCTGGAGGTAGCCAACTCGAGGCCGAAGGTGAAGCTCCCATCGTACAACTACATGAGGACGGTCATGTTAGACATCATCTACATGACGATCCAAAAGGAGGTGAACCCAATGACGAGCTGTTGGGACTCGACTGGATGCACGTTCATCACTGATGGGTCAACTGACCAGAAGAATCGGCCAGTGATGAACTTCTTGGCGGCGGGGGACCAAGGGGCGGTGCTCGTGACAACGGTGGCAATGAGTGGTAGGAAGAAGAATGCAGTGGCATTGGCGAAGTTGTGGGAGCAAATAATGAGGGAGATTGGACTGCAACGCATCAACGCGATCTGCACCGACAACGCTGAAGTTAACAAGAAGGCGGCGCAGATCCTAGAACGGTGTAAGGACAAGGACGTGGCCAGAACGGGGCACACTGTTGCAGTCTCCTTCTCAAGGATTTGGTCAATCTATCATGGATCCTAGAACGGGGCACACTGTTGCAGTCTCCTTCTCAAGGATTTGGTCAACCTATCATGGATCAAGGGCACAGTGAAAACCGCGAACACAATCGTGAAGTTCATCTGGAATCATCATGCCACACACGACTTGATGATGATTGTTGATGACTCATTGTCGTGGCTTCGTCTGACGGAAGTGCGGTTTGGATCTGTGTATCAAATGCTCCAACGGCTAACAGACAGAAAGGATGTTCTTGTCGAGATGGTGGATGGGAGGTCGGTTGGAAAGTGGAGAGCGTTGAGATGGTCAGGGGAAAAGTTGCGCAGGAGAGCCGACCTTGTGTACTACACAGTGAGGTCCGAGGTATGGTGGTCGCAGGTGAGGAAGATTGTGGACATCATGAAACCGATCTTCCAGTTGCTGAAGAGAATGGACGCAGATGGAACACCTCCCACCAATCTTGTTGAGTACGATGATATGATTGGGCAGAAATTGACAAACGTGGTGCTGATGAAGAAGGCCCGAGAGGATGTCATGGAGAAGGTGCGTGATCGCGTGCGAATGGTGAGGCAGTCGGTTCATGTAGCTGCATTCGTTCTTGATCCACGACGGAGGAATGAACGCTGGCTCTTTTATCAGATCAATGCAGTGATGCAAAATGCAATGCGCTTCTTCCTGAGGCAGATTGGGGGTGAGTGGAACAACAAGGCACATTCTAACTTGTGGGGGGAACTGATGGAGTTCCTGAAGCAGCCCGCGAGGGTTGTGACGGAGAATGTGTGCAGGGAGCCCGGGAAAACTATGAAGAAGCAGAAGGATGAGCACATGTGGGAACAACCGGCGGTGGACGATGTGAAGAGGCTTAACCCTGCGACCTGGTGGGCAGCACATGGCGGGGATGTCCTAACCCTTCAAGCAATTGCAATCAAGGTCATGGGGATGTGGAGCACTGCGACCCCTGCTGAGCGCAACTAGGCATCCATGGACTTCGTCCACAAGAAGAGACGAAACAGTATGTCCCTCGCATCCCTCGAGAAGCTTGTCTACATACACTGGAACATGCAGTTGCTGCAAGCTCGACACCACAAGGACAGCGGGTTCGTTGATGTCTGGGGTTCGTTCTTCGAGTCAATCATGGAGCCATAATAGAATGACGAGACGACGCTGGTGACCAATATTGAGGATGCTGCTGAGAAAGACGATGAGGAGATGAGGCAAAGGAACATGGCGAAGGCTCCAAGAAACAGGATCCCCCAAAACCTTCTCGATTCCGACACTAGTGACAGCAGCGACCTCGAGGATATGGTGTGGAAGGGGATGTGTTGGAATGAGTCATCATCGGACGACAGCAGAGCGGATGAGGACTCCGATTTCGAGCTCGGGTGGTGCCTGCGGTCCCGACGACCACGTATGTTGGTAAGCGAACTTGGTGACGGGACAGGGATCTCGAGGTTGAGCGTACGCCGATTGTCGATAGAGTGGACACAGACGTAGAGTTTTTGCTGCACCGCAACGATGACCCGGACGAGGAAGAGGCCACCCGTGCAAAGGAGATGGCGGACAGGGATCGTGAACTCGTGGACAGGTGGGTCGCTGAGGAGGAGGCCCGTCGTGCAGCGATCCCTACCCGCAGGGAGAGGGAGAGGCATGCTGCACAACAGGAAAAGCGTGGGGGCGAGGCCTTGAAGGAAATGGATGGGGATGTCCAGCCTGCCATGGACAAGGGCGAGCTAGCAAGGGGAGCCCGCGGACGCGCAGGCCCCGCCCATGCGTGGAGCAAGAAGTGGGAGTGGAGGGAGAGACCACCTCCCCCTTTCCCTGAATTGAACAATGCTCTCCACCATAACAACCTCTGGAAGAGCAGGGCAGGCAGGAAGAGGAAGGCAACAGTGGAGGAGTCCCCAAAAGCGCCCCGACGCGGCTGTGGAAGGCCCAAAAAAACAATGACAGTCGAGAAGACTGCGTCGCAGCACAGACGCTGCAACACTACGGCTAGCAAGAAGCGTGGCATTAGTGATGATGACCCGGATAGCATGGCAGTCCCCCACAGTCACTTGATGGGGGGATCAGCCCATGCCAGCCCATGCAAGGGACAGAAGCCCCAAATTTTGCTGCATAACTTCTTTTTCGATGTCTTCTTCTTCTACCACTTCTTCTTCTTCTTCTTCTTCTCTGTTTCCATCTTCTTCTTCTCCTTGCTATGTAGCCTTGTGAGGTATGGCTTCTTCTTCTTCATGTTTTGTGCCGCTGCAGATATGCATCGGACAGTGTTGGCAGGAGGACAGGTACGCTGCAACCACCCCACCAACACCCCCACAACACCCGCCCCCCCCCCCTCTCTTTCTTCTTCTTCTCCTTGCTATGTAGCCTTGTGAGGTATGGCTTCTTCTTCTTCATGTTTTGTGCCGCTGCAGGTATGCATCGGTCAGTGTTGGCACTGTCTCTTATACACATCTAGATGTGTATAAGAGACAGCCCCAACCCCATGAAAAAAAGATTTGCAGATCAATATTTTATCTGCGGATTCGGGGAAATTCCCAAAAGGCCATTCCAACCCCATAACAAAAAAAAAAAAAAAAAAAAAAAAATCAACCCGGTTTTGGGCCCAACCGGATTTCCGGTTGGACCACCGRGGTYCCAACYGGCCCGGTTGGGTCCGGTCCGGTCCAACCGGGCGGTGGCCAGTGCAGCCCTATGACATACACATTGAAGATAACATCCTGGTAATCCATGAAATGATTACGCTTTCCCGTCAGTCCCAACAGAATGCAGCCTTTGTATTTATAGACTTCGAAAAAGTTAAAGATCATGTAGATTGGAGGTTCTTGGATGCTTGACTTAACAAGTTGAACTTCAGTCCTACTATGCGTCGATGGATACACATTCTCCACTTGTCAATGAATGCTACCACGAGGGCTCAGGTAAACGGTTTCCTCTCACCAGAACTCAAACTCCAAAGGTTTGTAAGGCAGGGAGACGCTTAGGCTCATTTTCTTTTCCTTATCATTACGGAAGCACTGGGTGCTAACCTTCATGAAGACCATAACCTCACACGTCTTCAAATATCTGGGATACCAGAGGAAGCAATGTGCATCATGGGGATGCTACTCCTTGAGCTTGGTATGATTGATAATCCAATCATTCGTGGGCAGACAACAATGAATGATCCACCATTGTAAAGATGAAAATTTGGCCGAGCGTTGGCCAGTATTATTACAAAATTTGATGTGCCTGATTGAGTTTATATCAATGTTTAGATGTTGCGCCCACCTTTCCTGAATAATCGCCGTGATATCTACCTTTGGCCGGGGCAGTCTGTAAGCCGCTTTAAGAGAGAGGGACTGGAAAGAACGTGGCTTCCCTCTCTTGGTGGTTTGCCACACCCACTCTGCTGCCTCCAAGAGTAACTCTGAGATAGGGAGGAGCTCCAGATGATAGGTTTTCCAACCTGTCAAGATGAAAAAGAGGAAAGCAGCTTTTTGTCGATCTCCTCACGAGGTGTGCCATGGCTGAGGAAAGGAAGGAGGGAGCGGACAAAACAGCCCACAGGGCCGACAAGATGTCGCCGACTGGCAGGGGGGAAACCGTCGAAAGAGTGTCTGCATCAGGCTGCATGGACTACACACAGGGCTTAAGCAGGGTTTAAGCAGGGTTAGGAAGAACGCCTACATAGACAAGACCAGGGTTTTAAGCAGGGTTCAAAGGAAAAAGAGATGTCGGAAGCAACAAAGACGGGTTAGCCTCAGACCATCACCAGAAATAAACACAGCCCCCAACAGGTGTCGTGCGAGCTCAAGGGCGGGCTGCCAACAAGGCTGGGCCAGTTTTCAAAAATGGTGCTTCATGTATAGTGGGTTAACCTTCCCAAGCCTATGGGTAAGAGGGAGCGCGGACAGGGGAAGGGATATAGGAAAGGTCACAACCTGATAAACACCAATAAAATTGTGCTGTGTAAAGCTTTGGATGGATGTATCTAAGGGATGCTGGACCCGGTTTCCAGCAGGTGCAGCTCTCCACCAATAGATGGAGCAGCCTCATAGTCAAGGCCTCAATCCTCATGGTTCTCTCACCACCGCCGGGATAGAGGCCCTGCAGAAATGGCCAATTGGATTAAAACAAACAAGCAAACAAACAAACAAACAAACAAACAAAAAAGCTCATGAAAAGACCCACCGGATTACTCCCTTCGCCCAAAAAACAAACCCGTCCTTTCACTGCCTCCGGCGGAAGGCGTCCCCTCTCCTCACCAGCCCCAGTTCAGAAGAGCCCCGAACATAAAAATTTCCTAGAATTAAAAAATCATTCCGTGTCGTGAAGCCAGACCCCAAATGTGCAAAATGAGAATGAATCTTCCACTATAACACAGAAAGATACAGCGCCACTATGGTGAGTGGAACATGGCTTCTGTCTTAGGGTGGGACCCCAGTGGTTGGTGGTGCTTGGCACCACTGGCATGAAAACATCCGCCAGCCCAAACGGGAATGGGCAAGCGAAAAGGGACTCCACAGCCACAGCAATTTTCAGCACTTCCTGAGGTTTCTGTTACCCGATTACGAAGACTTGCCTTTTCAGGCAAGTTTGCCTCCACCTTTTCAGCACACCAACCAATCCCCGTGCTTCCTTTCCGCACAGTATGGCTGAATCTAGAGGGTGTGTTTGCCGAGGTCGGTCAGCAAACGCACCCTCTAGATTCAGCCATCCTGTGCGGAAAGGAAGCACAGGGATCGGTTGGTGTGCGGAAAAGGCGCCGGTCGGCAGAGTGGAAACAGAAATGCTTGCGTTTGCCACCAGCAGTGAAGTCAACAAAAAGTGTCCTCCAAAGCCTTGGCGCCAGCCAGTTGGGTCCCACCCTTACATCAGCCCAAATCTACAGGCAGACAAGCTGGATTAAAAAATGGATCATCCTTTTTTTTTTTTTTTTTTTTTTTAATCTTTTTTTTTTGGAAAAAACTCCCTTCAGACTACTAGGGGTGCTGATATGAGCCTCCACTGTCTCCTTCCTTCCGTTTCTCCTCTCAGGACACACTCACACTGCGGTACCAAATCCGCATAATCCCCAAAATCCCCCCCCAAAAAGTGTTGAGGGATAGTCGCACCAGGATCTGATTTCCCCAAACTCCTTATTTGTGACCCCATTTCTCAGTGACCTGAGGGGTCGCACAGGGGTCGGGAATTTTCCATACCCTAGGGAGGTTACCAAAAATTCCCTTTTCTTGTTTGGAATCAACCCGAGGAAATGGAAAGAAATTCGAAGACAAAGATATTGCCAGGAAATGCGATCTCGCAGTGTGACTGGAGCAGTCAACGAGGACCCAAAATCCAGGCAGCCGCAACCTTATCTGTTGCAAAATGGGGAAGCAGTGTGACCGGTCCAGCCACTATTTTCCCAAATGGGGCATCACATTCGTTGAAGAAAATACGATCTGGGGTACGCAGTGTGAGCATGCCTTTTCCTTATTGGGCCTCTCTCGACTGCTCACAACATGCACAAAAGACCAAAAAAATTTATGACATGCACAAAAGATAAAAATTATGGCAGTGTATCTTTCCATGTTCTAGCAAAAATCCGGCGGCCTAGCTCGCAAGTGGCATTCAGGAGCTCATGGGTTCAATCCGCATTAGCCTTGTGTACCTTCCTGGGCATGCCTGGTGCCCACCACCTGGAGATAGCCAGTTGGTCCCCCAACTGGCATCAACCAACTGGCATCAACCAACTGGCATTAAAAAGCAGTCTCTGCTGACGTTCATAGGGGGAGGGGTAACCAGGGAGGCACAGCGACTGGCCACATCACCTGGGGCTAGGTCCCACTTACACGAATTAAGAGAAATCGACCGTAGATATCGCAGATCAACGGTCAGAATCTCGTAGTCCGTGCGAGTGGGACCTTGCCCCTGGAGATAGCCCTTTGGTTCCCCCAACTGGCATTACAAGGGAGGCACAGCGACCGGCCACTCAGATGATGCTCGGTCCCTCTGCTACCTGTCCCCTGGCTGGCCCACTGGGGGTTCCCTGCTGACAATAGGGTCACCCTGGGCTGAAAAGGCCACCCGGTGTCAGATTAGGCCTATGATAATACCCCAACTGGCATTACCAGGGAGGCACAGCGACCGGCCACTCGAATGATTCTCGGTCCCTCTGCTACCTGTCCCCTTGGCTGGCCCACTGGGGGTTCCCTGATGGCAATAGGGCCACCCTGAGCTGAAAAGGTCACCCGGTGTCAGATTAGACACATGATTGAACCTACCTGGGCTGCTTAGGCCGATGATAATACCCTAAGGCCATCGCCTTCTTAAAAAAAAGGAAAAAAAATGTAGTTCTAGCAAAAGATTCTCTCTCATTTTGCATATTTGGTGAGTAGTGGAGCCAGGCCCATTAACACTTCTACCCTCTGGCCACACACACACACACACACACACACACACGTCTCGCCGCAGGGCACACGAAACGAAAACGAAACGACTGCATCGGCCCACGAAAGGTGGCAAAATACACTCGTTACTATTTATAGGAAACCGATGAACGTGGACATTTTCTGCAGGAAGATGCACTCGTTTTGTTTTTCGTTTCGTGTCCCGTGAGGCGACGCCCACACACACGCGCACGCACACGGCCTGGCCACCCCACTGTCGCAACGTAAAAAGAAGGAATGCATTTCCCCAGAAAGTGGTAAGATGCACCCGTTGCTATTCATAGTAACGGATGCATCTTGCGATTCTCTGCGGGAAGATGCAACACAAAAAGAACGAATGCATCTTCCCAAGAAATCCCCAAGATTCACTCTCACCAGGATTTACAAGACCTCCCTTTTATGCACTTGTACCGTTTTCGTTTCGACAGTAGCGTGGCGAGGCCCCCCCACACACAAGTGCCCTACTCTCCTTGGAATTTCTGACACAATCAGCAAGTTGAACCATAAACAATACGAAATAACGAATTCGCCTGCTAGTAAGTGGTCTCAACGACACCCCCACTGGACTTCGGAAAAGAAACAAAAAAAAAAAGAAAAAAAAAAAAAACACAAGACGAAAAGCGGAAAAATACGTAATGTCCCATCCTCCTCCCTCTGAGTTTTCTCGTGTGTACAATGTTCAGGCACACACTTGAGCTTACATCCTCCGCCTCTTCCTCGTGGGGTTGTTCCTGCTCCTCTAAGACTTTTGCTAACTGAACGTCCCTGGCCCTCGTTATTTCCATTCCTCCTCTTGATCCCCCACAAGGGAATGTACAACCAGAGGACAAAAATATATAGGCAGCCTACTCTGCATTCTCAAATTTTATCGCACATTAGGGGTCCTTCCTTTCTACCTCCATAGAACCCTCCTCCTCCTCCTCCTCCTCCTCCTCTCCTCTCCTCTCTATTACAGAAGGAGAGGGGACCAAGGACTTCAGCACACGTAGCTCTGAAGTACACATGCTGGCATGCTACCCTCTCCAGGGTACTCCCAAAACCATATTTGCACGTCCATGACTATTGCTCCTCTTCTCCCCTCCTCCCCCTCTCCCCGAAAAAAAAAGAAGGCCTGCAAACCACTTCAGCATACATAGCTCATGCTGGCAATTTCCAGCTCCCTCCCTCTCGTCCTTTGGTTCTTCCTCATTCCCAAAATGACATCTGGCTGTCAATGAGACAACCTACTTCACCCCCCACTCAAGCGCAAGTAGTCGTCGAACTTCGTTACGGACCGCTGATTATTCTGCCGGCTGTTGCCGGCGGCCCTTTTTTTTTTTTCTTGAACGGGGAAAGACTTTAATTTCACTTCAGTATCAGTAACGGAGAAGAGGCCAGGGTTCCCCGTGGTCCAAAATACCTCTACCAAAAAAAAAAAAAAAAAAAAAAACTATACCTCGTCGGAAATCAAGCTTTCCAAAAACTCATGCCCGAACATTCCTCTCCTTGTCCTCCACCCTGTTTCGCCATGTCGAGCACTCCAGGAGATCAATTCTTTTTTTTTTTTTTTTTTTTTTAAATAAAGGACGTCAATTCTCGCAGGTTGGCCATGTCGATCACGCAAGTATCTCCCGCTCCTCGGCTCCTTTTCTCTTGAACAGTTCCCTCGCCCCACTTTTTTTTTTTTTTTTTTTTTTGAACTCCCTTCAGACTAGTAGGGGTGCTGATATGAGCAGACACCGCGAGTTTCGTGGAGGTGCTGACCTGAAACGAGACGCGTTTTGTCCTATCCGGAGAGAAGGTAGTCTCCTCACTCGAATAGAACGCCCAGTCCTTATTGCCGTATTCGGGGCAACTTCCATTCCTGACGCAGCGATCATGACCTGGCGTTCTATTCGGGTGAAGATGGTAGCTCACCGGGAAACCCATCTCAATCATATACATATACATATATATATATATATATATATCTATACTCCTACACTTCTCCGTTCACTATCTCTCCGCTCCTCTTCTTACCCAAACTCCCCTCCTGGCCGGCTTGTGTCTGTCGTCGAACGAGAGCAAGTCTCTCGTTCTCTCGTTGAAGCAAAAGCTGTCTCACCATGCGCCCAAGCCACTCGTTTCCCGTGCTCCAGCATGCCCAGCACACCTTATGCAACCAAACTCACGCAGTTACCTTCTGCTGCCCTATTCTCCTCTTCTCAGGAAGGACTGGAAAAAAAACGCCAGCCTGAAGCCGGAGGAACTAGGTAAGCAGGTAGAAGGGCAGCAAGAGGTCCTCTCTTCTTCCGGCTATAAAGTCAAAGACGCGCTTCTGAGGGGGCAGATTGGCTATAAGCCCCCCGGAATGGTACACGTGGTACACGAACCCCATTATGACCCGGCGCTTAATTCAGCCAGAAACGGGCGCGGGCCAGCTTTTTGGGGCTTAATTGGTTTTCTTAGGTCCACTCTACTTTAAGCCTTCTCTGCCCTCATAACGACTAATCTAGCTACCAATCCATCGCGCAAAGCTCTCTTCCACATCACTTGAAACGACATCTCCTTTCTCTTCCGGAATCAGCCTCCTTCGCCCCTCCTCTTACGCTGACTCACTCTCAGTTTCTCTCCGTCTCCAATCCCTTCCCCGCCCCCTCCTCTTTTCTGTCCTCTTTCCGCTGTCCAGCTTCTATGTCGTAAAAAGAAAATTAACACTTTCCAAATTCGTTGTTTTTTTTCCCCAGCCCTCACACAGGCTAGTCAGTCGCTCATCACGTCATCCATAACGTCAAAGACATGACCGGTTTATTAACTCTCTCTCTCTCTGTGCCCCCCTCTGCCACCCTCAGGGACAGAGCATACTTGTTATCCTCTTCACTCAATAACTTCAAAAGCACCTGGCGGCTGAGAGATCGATCGCCTTATGCTGGCTGCATCACGATGAACTGGAATCTCCTCATGCGCATCGCGCGCGCGCGCAAAGCTCCGGCTTGTCGTGCCGTTCCCCCAATGCATTAATATAACAAACAAAAAGGGGAGGCGGTGGACGGGAGGAAACATGCCAAAAAAGACGAAGGGGAAAAAAAAGGCTCACCCGCAGTCGTCGGCTTTCACCGCCAACACAAACACAATTATTAAAAAAAAAAAAAAAAAAAAAAAAACGCTGGTACTCCAAACACGTTCCGGTGCGCACCATGATGATATCCCAATCCCAATCCCCGGCAACGAGCTGAAACCGCAGTCGGCGGTCGGGATCTCCAACTATTACTGCCCATCACTTGGCCAAGACATCACGATCATTCACGATGAAGTGGAAAACCTACTCTACTCTACCGTATCGGAATCTTCAACGCGCGAACAGCCGGTATTCTGAACAGCTTCCCGATTCCCGGTGCGCACCCTGGTATCCCAATCTCCATCCGGGCAAGGAGCTGAAAATTTTTTCAGCAGATGTCGGGATCTCCAACTACTACCGCCCATCACTTGGCCAAGACATCAAGTTGGAAGTGGAAAGCGAAAAGAAGACATCACGATGAACAGCAAGACCTACTCTACCCTTTGCGGATCTTCACCGAGCGATCGCTTCGACGAGACATCACTTCCAAAGCGGCCGCGGTGTACATTGGCAAAGGCAGCACGCGCTCTGCTGCAGTGCTACATACAGGACGGAAAAAAAAATCGTCGGAATCTTAAGAAAGCAGCAGTAATCCGTTGAGGGAGATAATTACTTAATAAGTGATTGGAAGACTGCAAGTCCATCCATTATGATGTGGACGACAAGAAAAAAAAAAGAAGAAGCAATCATGTGAAGGAGGGATACTTCAGAGAACCTACAACTGCTTTCTAGGACACAACGCGAGGTCAGCAAACGAGTAATCAATATGGTTAGTGATGATGATGATCCCCAGAAGGAGGCCATCAATCATCCATCATCACCCCGGGGGGATTCCCATCATCCTTTGCCGTTGATTGGGAGCGGCGTTGATATAATCAAATGAAATCAATATAATCAAACTAATCATCTAATCAAAGCCAACGCGCCTAGCGATTAAATAAAATACCTGAAAATGAATCCTTCCTCGTGAGGCCTCCGTGGCCCTGCAATAAAGCCACGACTCTCGATATCCCCGGCCTATCCTCCGGCTGCGGCTTAACACACAGGAGCGCAACGCGTAGCAAGCGTTCTACCTTCTCCTCGTCGAAGTTGTCTTCCAGCCGGCGATCAACGATTCTTCTCAGCCGCCCTGCTTCCATAGAAGAGATCACGTAAGCCGGAAGGTAACCTGCTGCTTGATGGAGGCCACCTCCACCTCCCTCTCCCGACTCCACAGCCAGGTTTCTTCTCCCAGTAACCATCTCCAACACCACAATGCCGAAAGCATAAATGTCCATCTTGTCGGAAACTACAACGGTGGTCGTCGTCCCGCACTCCGGCGCCGTGTAGGACGACGTGGCACGCTTGTCCACCGCCACAAAGACGGCCGACTGGTGATCGGACGCGTCGCCGGAGCCGCCGACGCTCTTTCTTGCTGCCACGTACAGACTGGCGAGCCCGTAATCTGCCACGTGTCCTCTCATCTCCTCATTCAACAGAACGTTCCTTAGCTTCACGTCTCCGTGAAGAAGTCTGGACTTGCACTCCTCGTGTAGATAGCGTATCCCCTTTGCAACATCTAATGCTATTCTGCACCGCGCCTCCATGGACAGCAAAAAGCTCTCGTTCTTCGGTGCGAAGATAGCGTCATCCAGATTTCCATTAGCCATGTACTCGTTGGCCAACATGAACCTCTTGCCATCCATGCAATATCCGAGGAGAGGGACGACATTGCTGTGCTGCAGGCGGCTTAGGGAAGACACCGCCGCAATGAACGCTGCTTCTGGGCTTCTATGCACCGTGGTCGACTCAGCAGCAGAGGCGCCGGCAGCTGTGTTGGCCGCGGAGGACGGCAAGCGTGGGCGGTAATTCTCTAGCCTCTTTATGGCCATCATCGTACCGCCTGGAAAAGTCCCCTTGTAGACAATACCGAAGCGCCCTCTGCCGATCTCCGTCCTGAAGCCGTTGGTAGCCAAGCGCAGCTGAAGATAGGAAAACCGAGTCGGACCGGCAATCGCTCCAAGCAGTTCTTCTGTGCGCACCTGCAGACTACCACTAGTGCGAGGAGGAAACCATGGCCCGCCCTGACGGGGAGTAGCTGCCCCGACCACCACAGGATCACCAGCGGCGGCGGGCGCCACACCAGCCGCTGAGCGGTTCCGCGCACTCGCCGCCCCTCTCCCCCTCGTTCCACGCGGCGGCGTCCGCGCATTGCTGGGCTGCGCCACCTGTGGCGCGGGAGAACGCTCCTTCTCTTCCCCGTTCCTCACCCGTCGCAGCACTACCACAGCCAGACATACAGCTATCAGTAACGCGACGAAAGCGGTCGGCGTCACTATATACGCCAGCATGGGCACAATGCTTTCATTCGAAGCACCCGAAAGGTCGTTTTCTGCATCGTCTTCTCTCGATGCTTTCCCCCCCTGATTACTTGATGACCCTCCAGCGGACGCCGATGGCTGTCGCGAAGGCTTATTAGGAGGCTGGGGAGTAGCAGTGGCGCTCGACTCTGGAGAGGGGTAGGGGGGGGGCCAAGATTTCGGAGCAGGGGGAAAGCCCATGAAGGTCGACAGGGGAGAAGAGGGAGGCAAAGTAGAGTCTGACGGAGCAGAGCGGGGGGACGAGAACCGCGGCGGGGCAGCGGAAGAAGATCCGGGGAACGGCGAGGGAGGGGGGAAGAAGGAAGGGGCAGCAGAGGGCGGAGGAGGAGTGGCAAGCGACGAACTGGAAGAGGGAAAAGCGAAGGAAGGAGCTTGAGGTAAGGAGGTAGGGACGGGGGACGATGAAATGGAGACACCGGTACGGTCCGACTGAGGAGCCGCAGGGGGTACAGAGACCGAGGAGGCGGACGAGGGAGGGGAGGACGACGGCAGGACGATGGACTTGGGGGAGGAGGAGGAGGAGGAGGAGGAGGAGGGGGGTGCGGAGGAAGACGCAGGAACTGATGAGAAAGCAGAGTCGGGGGGGGAAGGTTGGGATACCGACCGCGAAGAGGCTCGAGAAGATGGTACAGAGGCCAATGGAAGGGAATGGGAGGACGGTGCTTGACTGGACGGGACAAAGGCTTGAGAGGAAGAAGGAGCAGCACTAGAGGAAGATGATAACGAGGGCGGGTTCGGCGTAGAAGCTAATGCTGCGGAGGAGGGCGCAACGGACGAGATGGATGCGAAGCCGGAGTCCAATGATGTGATCGAACCAGATGAAGCAGGAGTAAGGCTAGATGAGGTGCTAGAGTCGAGCGATGACAGCGACATGGGCATAGATTCGGATGCTCCCGATGAGTCTAATGTGGGAATAAGGTCGGATGATGGGGTAGGCTCGGATCGCGGGTTGGACGATGAGGGCGTCGGCTTGGACGATGGGTTGGAGGACGAAGGAGTGAAACTAGACGAGGGGGAGGAGTGCGAAGCGACTGCGGAGGAGGAGGATGGGGTGGAGACAGATCGACGAGAAGTAGCCTCGGTAGAAGCGGAAGGCTCGGACTCCGAGGCTGCAGGTTCGGTTGATGAGAGGGCAGGCGCCGATGACGATGCAAGCTCCGCGGATGATGGCGGCATTTGATCAGAGCGGGATGAAGGCGGAGCAGGGGCAGAGTCCGACGAGAAGGGCGGACCAGCAGTCGCAGAGTCCGAGGACGAGGGCGGAACAACAGGGGCAGAGTCCGATGAGGAGGGCGGCAAAGGGGAGGTGTCAGACGCGGAGGGCGGCACAGGGGAGGTGTCTGACGAGGAGGGCAGAGTGACAGAGGAGGAGTCGGATGCAAAGGGCGGGACAGGGGAAGAAGTCGATGCGGAGGACGGCACAGGGGAAGACATCGACGAGGAGGGTGGAACAGGGGCAGAGTACGATGAGAAAGGAGGCGGCACAGGGGCAGAGTCCGATGAGGAGGGCGGCACCGGGGCAGTTCCGGACGAGGAGGGCGGACCGACACAGGAAGAAGAGTCGGATGCAGAGGGCGGGGCAGGGGAAGAGTCGGATGCAGAGGGCGGGGCAGGGGAAGAGTCGGATGCAGAGGGCGGGGCAGGGGAAGANGAAGAGTCGGATGCAGAGGGCGGGGCAGGGGAAGAGTCGGATGCAGAGGGCGGGGCAGGGGAAGAGTCGGATGCAGAGGGCGGGGCAGGGGAAGAGTTGGATGCGGACGAGGGAACAGGCGAAGAGTCGGATGTGGTTGAAGGCACAGGGTAAATGTCCGATGTGGAGAGAGGCAGACGGAAAGCGTCGTCGGATGCTAAGGACGGCACAGGGAAAGAGAGGGAGGGCGGCACGGGTAAGGAGGGTGAGATGGGGGTATAGTCAGCTGAAGAGGGAGACAGGGGAGGGGTGGAGTCAGATGGTGGGGAGAGCGATGAAGAAGGAGAACTCTGAGAGGCGGAGGGGAGGGGCGGAGAGGTCGAGTGAGCGCGAGGTTCAGCGGAGGAGGAAGTGGAAGATCTGGAAGAGAGGGAGGAGGACGATGGAGTTGGCGGGAAATGAGATTCGGAGTTGAAAGATGACAAAGCAGCTGAAGAGATTGCAGCTATGTCTTCTGAACCAGAGGTCCTGGGGGAAGAGCTTGAGAGGGAGGGAGGTGGTGGAGAGGGGGAGTAGACTGACCGCCGAATGCGCTGGCGCAAGGACTTCCGCAGGGCAGGGGAAGGGCCGGCGAACTTCCGCCGGACGCTGGCATTCTCAGAGTGAGGGCTTTTGCCTCCTCCCAAAGCGAGTAGAACGCGGCCAATCCCATTCTCGATGGCGAAGGAGGGGAACAAGGAATTCGAAAATGAAGGAGGGGAAGTGGAGGGCGGAGAGGCTTGATGAGGCTGTGATGATACCAGATAGCCGCTACGGTGTCTCTGGGTATGGAGAAGCTCAGGCATGGAGGGTGAGGAAGGAGAGGGAGGAGGTTGAGAAGAGACAGAAGACAGATGAGAAGTAGGAGGAAGGGGAAGAGGAGAATCGTTGGCGAAGGAGAGGGAGGAAGAAGAAGAACTGAGAGAGGGAGGGAGGGTACTGCCATCATTGGCATTGATTTCCGCTGGAGATCGTACCCCGATTGATCGGCCATAACGTCCATCCGCAAGCGCTAACAACATAAGCGTCAGGACGACGAGGACAAGGATAGTCAACACTGAACGCACAATCCGTGGGGAGTAATTACTCCTGTCTGCTATCCAATTCGGGGAGGAGGCAGCCATGTATAATGATGAAAGATCATCACCCCCCCGATAATCTCGACAACGAAAGCAAACGGGTCTGTCGCCAATGCCACCCATATAAGTGGTCGCTGCCTCCATTCGCGCACATCGCCCCGTTCTCTGAACAGCCTTGATGAGGGCACCTCCACCTCCACCGCCACCCTATGCAGCACACACACCCACCAACACCAATAATGAAACCAGTCTGCGATGACGATGACAGAGTTAAAAGCACCTGTGAGAGGCACACTGGTCCCTAACCTCCTCTTCGCTGCAGAAGAGGGATTACTCCCCAGTCTTCAATCGCCAAGATGTGGGCGCTATTATATCCTCTCATCTTCCATAAATGTGCTGCATCATGTCACGAAAACAGTCCACATGCATTCGCAATCATACCCACAATCTTTCGACACTCCCTTTCCAATTACCAGTGGTCGCTGCCGAAGGCGATCATTGGTCCTCGGTCCACCACCACTCCCGCCAAATGCGCAAAAGATGAACCTGGTCAAGTGTTCGAGTCCTGTACTCGTCATGCATGCATGCAGCGTATATATATACATATGTATACCGTATTATCACATTCTAGTTGAAGACACTGAAGCCAATTAACTACATTTAGCAACTAGAGGAGGCCCATTGTCTCCTGCACAGGGTGACAGCGCCTCTGCTTCCCAGCTTGCTTAATTTTACAGGGTCACCTGCCTGCTTTCACCCTATATACCCCTCCCAACCAATAGCCCTACCCCTGCATTTCACCCATCACGCTTTCATCATTATCTCACCCCTTCGCTCTCAAAATAGGGCGGCAGCAGCGGCCGAGAGAACTACGCCCACTACACCGTACCTCTAGACATGCGATCATCTTCGCGTGCTGAGCTTCCTTCTACCTGTTCCTCTGTAGTACCTCAGTTATACCGCAGTTATTATCTCAGTAATACCACACTCCACAATGCACCAATCACGCTTTCTGACACCGTTCATCTATCCCTGTAACGTCGCTGTCACACTACACGTCTATCCGACAGTACATCGCCGCTGCAGCACCTTATATCAAGTTCCGGCCACTCCAAGAAAAAGCTTTTTTTTTTTCTCTATTGTCTCTCATCAACAGCAAACTTCAGCTCACACTCAGCTGCCCCAATCAATGCTTCATCCCACGCCGCTTTCACGCCGTTGGTAGGTCAACCACATTACATTGATTGTACCCTGCCCAACCCCTTCTCCTGATCGGAGATTGCACCCAGGTTGATGACCTGTTTGCGGCAATCAATTATAGAAGTCATAGGGCCTCGCTGCACTACTCTTGAAATTCACAAAAGACAAAAATCATGGCCGTGTATCTTTCCATGTTCTGGCGGAAGATTCACTCTCGTTTTGCACATTTCGAGAGTAGTGCAGCGAGGCCCATACTCACCTCATCAAGCGTTCACACTTATGACCACGGTCTCTTGCTTGATTGACCCCCATGCATGCAATTACGTGAATGGGGGGGGGGAATTGCCGCCAAGTGCGAATCCATGCCCTAGCTGCAGGAGCTACTCCTGCAGTCTGCCCGCCCTCAGACAGGATCGGCAGTTCAAAACTTGTGATCCAGTCGCTCGCTCATCCACGTGTCAAGGCCAGAAGCACAGTGATAAGTCACGGCTCTGGTAATAGCATAGGGAGAGAAAAGATAAGAGACCAAGCGAGATGACGTCACAATCCTCGAGATGACGCCACCACCATTCCAGCCGGCTCCGATCAAACGCGCACCATCTACTGGCTGATCGTATCATCGTTTTCTGTAATAACGGACCCCTCCGCCAGCAATGCATGCCTTTCCTCGCCCCACTGACTTCTGGGCGCCGTCTTTACACTCCTTTGCCAACTTCAACCTCTGCCCGTTTCTCACACAAAAGAAGGTGCGCACCGATCAGAACCTGAACGGGCAGCGAAATTTTAACACTTCGGCAAGTATATTGCACAAAATTTTACCCATTCACCTCTCTCTCTCTCTCTCTCTCTCTCTCTCTCTCTCTCTCTCTCTCTCTCTCTCTCTCTCTCTCTCTCTCTCTCATGCTAACGAACTAAAAGGAGGTTCGACAAACGCCTCACTACTTCCATGTATTCGCTTGGCCCTCCGCGTGTATCCGTTTGGCGCCAACAAACTACTACAGTAGACGGACCGAGTTCGGCTCGTCAACTTCTGGACCAGCTACCCACGCAGTGGTCCACTCGTCGGAGATCCACCCTTGCATTGCCTCTCTCTCTCTCTCTCTCTCTCTCTCTCTCTCTACACACACACACACACACACACACACACACACACACACACACACACATACACACACGATGATATAAACGCGCACCGTCGAGTGTCTTCAACAGACTCTCGCGCGTTTCCGGTCATTAGAAATAGCCCGCTGCCTCAGCCGCGACGTGTCACCCATCATCACACCACGGGGAGGAGTACAGAAATGATGGTTGTCGCATTGTAGGAGTTATTCATTGCAGGACTTTTTATGAAAGGGATGACTGTGTGAGGTTTCCAATTGTACGACACCCCATCCACCGTGGACTGGCTGGAATGCAGTCTATTGAGTTTTTTTTTTTTTTTTTTTTAAGCTATATTCTTCTCTCATCTATCTTATTTTTCTTGCTAGTACTCATCTATCTCATCCTCTCACTAGTGTAAAATCGGTCGCGCGCTGGAACAAGAACATCGGCGCTGGTCTCGTAGCACGACCCTGACTATTGCGCATCGCCGCCGTTCACAGACGGGTTCACTGGATTATGCACCTGGCCACACAACACGGAAAACAAAGAAAACGCACATTGCCACACAGTGTGTAAAGATTCATCCGTTCCTATTCATAGTAACGAACGAATGCATCTCCCCATGGCATGGATTGGCTCCGGTCACTATATGCACAGTTCCAGCGACACTAATTGGAACTATTTTAAAAAAGGAAACACGAAAAGTATCATTCCTGCCGGCCGTTGGGACCCTCGTCCCGCCTCGTCCCGCCCTGCCTACCGGGTAGTTGGAAGCGCGCCTGTTGCCACTCCAAATTCCCAAATTTTTTTATTTTTTATTTTTCTGTAAAAGGGCGATGGCCTTGAGGTATTATCATCGGACCCAGCCCAGGTAAATTCAATCTTGTGTCTGATCTGACAACGGTGGCCTTTTCAGCCCAGGGTGGCCTGATAGCCTTAGGGTGGCCTGATGGCCTTCAGGGAACCCCCAACGGGGGCCACCGGCCAGGGGACAGCCGGTGGCAGAGGGACCGAGCATCATCTGAGTGGCCAGTTGCTATGCCTCCCCGATTACCCCTCCCCCTATGAACATCAGGAGAGCCTGCTGTTTAATGCCAATTGGGGGACCAACCGGCTATCTCTAGGTGGCGGGCGCTAAGCATGCCCAGGAAGGTACATGAGGCCAATGGGGATTGAACCCAAGCCCTCCTGAATGCCACTTGAGTGCCTTACCAACTGAGCTAGGCCGCTGGATAAATTCCCAAATTTTCCAACGGCGCTCGCTTGGCAACCGGAACATTTTGGGCCTCGTGGCTTCACTACTCGAAATGTGCAAAATGAGAACGAACCTTTCTGTAGAATAATGGAAAGATACACGATCATCATTTTTGTCTTTTGTGCATGTCGGGAGAGTAGCGGAGCGAGGCCCATTCTGCCGGCCGGCCTTCTGCGCGTCCCCGCGCGCGAAACGTCCCAAACTCCGCTCCGCGGGAAGTGAGGAATCCCAAAAAAAAAAAAAAGGAAAAGGAAATCACTCCCACGGACGCCACTGAACACCGGCCGGTGCAGAAGCGCCAAGGCGGCTCCTTCCGGCTCTCCTACCGGTAGCGCCGAAATATCCTTTCACTTCGACCGTCTGGATTTGTGCGCGTAATCCGCGCGCACACACCGTGGCATGTTGGATGTTGGATGTGGAATTAGACAAAATAATAATAATAATAATGTTGGATGTGGAACTCGCTGCCATCTCTAGCAGCTCTCAGCTATCTTTTTTTTTTTTTTTTTTTTTTTTTTTTTTTCCTCTCAGCTTTCGAGTAAACGCGCACCCAGATGGCAGCCCACTGTTGCTGGCGCTCGTCAGAACCGCTGTCCCAAAATTTTGGGACGTCGCAGGGCTGGTAATGGTTCGGTGGGAGAGGGCTGGTGGGCCCTGAGAAAACTAAGGTAGACCGGGGGCCAGGGCCCACTACCAGTAGCAGCGTTGAGTTTCCTAAACGCCCGAATCTGGACGAGCTTCTGGAGACGTGCAGTTGAGGAAACTCAAGGCGATTTTCCCTCCCCACATCTCCACAAACACGTCCAAATTCGTGCGTTGAGGCCCTCATTAAGGCCAGGTCTGGTAGTGCTTCGGTGGGAGAGGCCTGGTGGGCCCCAAAAAGAAATGACGCCGGCCTGCCGAGTCCAACCGTTGGGCAGCCAGCGCGTATGTGAAAACACACTCGCGGGAAAAGTAAAAAGTGTGCCCGTCTCCAAGGATGACACGGATCGGGAAAAGTCAAAAGTGTGCCTGTGCAAGGATAACACGCATAGATCGAGAAATGGTCCAAATCTCTAAACAAGGGGGAAAAAAGCCGGGACAATTGCACCTGTACCCCACTATACCAAGTCCCAGTGCGAACTTGCATCTATACCCCTAGCCCGTTCTACTTTGCGTAGTACCCAACTTTCCCCCTGTGGGAAATTGTAGCCACCCAACTTTTCCCCTGTGCGAAATTGTAGCCACCCAACTTTTCCCCTGTGCGAAATTGTAGCCTCCCAACTTTCCCCCTGTGCGAAATTGTAGCCTTACCCAGTCCGGTACACCGCAGTTACAGACCACCAAAATTATGCTCATCCCCAGACACTGGGCTGGCAAAATTGTGCATGTATCTACACCGAGTGGCGGGCCGTGGATGGCCGACAAGGAAATTATGCTCATGCCCACAAGTGGACTGTTGTGGCCCAACAGCTCCTGGGTATGAGCATAATTTCCATGAAATTATGCTCATGCCCACAAGTGGACTGTTGTGGCCCAACAGCTCCTGGGTATGAGCATAATTTCCATCATCCTGTAGTAGGGTATATGAACAATTTGGCCGGTCCACCTCAGTGCCCTGTATGCCCATAATTTTTCCTGGGTATGTCCATAATCTGTGCATTCCGTAGTTGGTTACCACCGCAATTTTTGATATACCAACCTGGGTCCACCTCAGTTCCGG